GCAGCCAAAGCAGGGAGCAATACAGTGTAGCATACTTAGCTGAACAGAGCATGTCAATTTATTTTATCTGATCTGTAAAATAAAATAAAAATCCACAATAATAAATTCTCTTCAATCCTCCAACCTGCTCGTCATTAGTTACGTGCCTTTCAAGTTAGCAAGCTAATGTTAGTTTTGGTATGCTGTCCTCACAACACGCGACCATGTGAAGTTAGACAGCGAACAAAATAAAAAGTCCTCAGACGAGACTTGCTTTCTTGATTGTACTGAAGATCTTTTATTTATGAATTTGTAAAAAGACGAACGTCTCCCAAACGCATTTGTTTTACCGGAGAAAAGACGTCAGAAGATTGTTCTGTGGTGAGAACACTCACTACCTCACGTAGCCCTGTCACGATAGTTTTTTTTGGGGTGATTAATTGTCTCAGAAATTATTGCGATAAACAATAATATTGTTTGAAATTTTACAATAATTAGTAATTATTATATTGTCTTTATTAGACAAATATGGGCTGATGCAGCGGAGCGACGTGTACGGCGGAAAATACGGTAGCTGCTTGGATCCAGGTTCTGGTCCTTTTTGTCTTGATCCATGTCCATCTGCACTCCTAAAACATATAGAAAATATTTTATGTTAATATCGTTCAAGTCTGGACAAGTTTGGAACAATTCACATTCAAGTTTGGAGAGTTTCTAAACTCGTTCTAACTAATAAAAATCAACATTTTTTTAAAGTAGCTTAATGAAGCTGAGTATTCTTCATCTTCTGTACTGAAGATGAAAGTTTGGAGGTAATTCACCAGCAGGAAAGTGTTTTTAGGATCTGCAACTTCATCAAGAAACAGTGACACGTTTATCTGACAAACAAACATTTTGCATCTGATTAAATACAAAAGGACAAATGTTTTAGTCAGATTTTTTTGGTTTGAGGTGAAATAAAGCTCTAAGACTTATTGTAAAGTCAATAAAAAAACTGAAAACAATATTTTTAATGTAGGACAGAAACCTTAAACAGAACCAAACATGATGTTTGTGGACATTTGAGTTTAGAAAATAACTAAAAAAATTTACTGAAGTGTCTAAAAGTCTCAAATTTGGAATCTTCTAAATGGAAAAACCGTGCATATCTCACAGGAACATCAGTGGATCAGTTAACTGAGAGCTTTACCTTTCAGCTCCTTTTCCAGACCGGAGCAACACCCTGATTACTGCAGACGAGGCTCTGATCCGTCGGCCCTGATCTGTCCTACCGTTGCTCAAAGTACTCCCGGAGGCAACGTTTAAAGACGTAGAGAAGCTAAATGTCCTCCCAGCTTCTCCCAAACCAAGTGTCAGAACCAGAACCGGCCTTTACTCTTCCCAAAATGAAAACGGTTGATGTTGCAACTGCACGATGAACAAAGAGCAAGGTCACATTTTTATAAATAAATAAAAAAATGTTTTCAGAGTTGGAAGCTTTTAGTTTTTGTGTTTTCAGTCTGAGTCGGGCTCAGCGAGGCCTTGGCCTTTAGTATCGTGTCTGTTTGTGTTGAAGCTGCTCAGATGATCGTACCCACACACATTCTGTGCATTATTCAATAAAAACAACAACAAACCACTTTGAATATTTTGCATCTCAAGTAAACTAAAGCGTGTCCAGCTAAGGTTTTAGGGATTAGCATATTTACTTTTAGCTTCTACTACGGCTTTCTTTGATTTGTGCATTTAGGAGCAAAGCGCTGTTTTATTTACATTGTTTATCTGTTGTCTGCACTTGTTTTATTGTCTGTCATTTCAAAGATAATCAGACAAAAAGCTGCAACAGTCCTCTTCAGAAAATTATGTGAAAATGACTGTTAGTAAAAATAAAACTGCATGTATTAAAATGTGCGCCTGTTACAAAGATTACATCATCAGGTCAAACAGATAACAGACGGCAGCTCAGGGACGCTGCTGCTCTCATGTCAGTAGGGTGTCAGTGGGTCCCGAGCCTGGTCCGTGAGGAACACCATCCTGCACGTTTTACTTGTTTCTCTGCTTTGACACACCTGATTGGAATGGATGGGTGATTAACAGGCGTCTGCAGAACCTGAGGAAGTAACTAAATCACGGAATCAGGCGCGTTGGAGCAGGAAACAACTGAAACGTGCAGGATGGTGTTCCTCAAGGACCAGGGTTGGGAACCACGGGAGGATGCAGATGCTAATGATAAGGTGAAGTAAAGTGATCTCTCAGTGGTAGTAGTTGGGTAGTTATCAGAAGATTCAAAGGTTTGGCTCATGAAGGGTTATGGTTGCATTTAAGAACGCACAGGAAACAGAAAAACTCTGCGTCTTGTCAAAGCTCCAAAATTCACAGTTGAAACCGGTGCCTTCATGTAAAAAGTTGTTTTTCTCTGCAAAGAGAGGCTGAGAACTTGTTTACTGATTTTTTTATTAAAAGCTTTGTGTGAAAGATGCTAAAGAGCTCAAATCACACCGAGCGGCCGCCATTTTGAGAACCGAAGAGAGACAGCCCATGTCACGTCAAGGAGCCTCTCTCCCATTTTTCTTAGAGACACGCTGCTCGCTCCCTCACTATCCATCCTTCTGTTCAAACAGTCTTATACTACCATCCTGTGGTCAAAAAAGGTACTACACACAAAATTAACCAACATTTCTTCTTAAATTTGACAATTACTAATTATTGTTAAATTTCAAACAACATTATTGTTTATCGCAATAATTTCTGAGCCAATTAATCGCCCAGCAAAATTTGTTATCGTGACAGGCCTAGTGACTGCTACGGAGCTAAAACAGATCCAAGTATTCCGACTCGGGGTTCTTTAAACCTGAAGCCAAGTGGTAGCTTGTCTGAGCTGATCTTCAACATGTTTGACTGAGGAAAGATTAAGGGACCTGGGGGGCCACGGAAGACCCCAGAATGATGCAAGTGGTCCATATACGTGTGGTTTGGGTTTTTCTTAGTGTAAGACCACGCGAGGAAGCCGTTTCCTGAAGGGGGAAGTCGTATGTGGATGCAGGATGTTACTGACAAAGTGCTGTCCCCTGAATCAGTACCGGGAGAGACCTGGAGTAGGACTCCATGGTTCCTCTGAATCAGTACCGGGAGAGACCTGGAGTAGGACTCCATGGTTCTCCTGAATCAGTACCAGGAGAGACCTGGAGTAGGACTCCATGGTTCCTCTGAATCAGTACCAAGAGAGACCTGGATTAAGACTCCATGGTTCCCCATACCATGGTGCCAGGAGTAACATTGGTGCGTCAACACAAAGTATTGACAGAATTGGTTGTTCCCCCATGGTGCTATTGTACAAATATTATGGTCTTCTGTGACTATCCAGAACTGGGATTCATCTCTGAACCTGATACGGCGCCAGCACCGCTCCAAACACTGTTGCACTGACAGTCTACGTCTGGGACAGTGGACCCCCAGTCCGGCTGATGACGGTCCTGAGAACATGATGCAAGACGACACAAAGTGTTGCAAAGATTCCAACATCTGTGTCCAGATGAGGGTCAGGACGTCATGGGGTTCTGTAACGTCCCTTGGTGTACTTGGTCTTGGTTGACCAGAACCTTCACAAAGTGTGTTGGTGTTCCCGTGAACCCATTGGTTGAAACGTTGTGCCACTGTACGCCCGGTGTACTGTGCAGTGTGACGATACGATCACCGAGTCTCACTCAGACCCACAATGTGACCCATAACAGTGGCAGCTGACCTTCACTCTCTGCTTACGTTCTTCCAAATCAAATAATCTGTGGACCAAAGTGCATCCAGATCCAATCTTTCCTTCTGGATCCTGATTCTTTTGTCTGTCAGTGATGACAAAAATCAAATAAAGTAAAAAAACTGGCAGCAGAATGTTGTTCAAATTACGAGCAGCTGTAGAGGAACAGATGCCACTTTGTCACTGCCTCCAACCCAGTTTTCTCCCCCTCATGGAGATGATTACTGCTTGGATCCACCCAGGTCTTAGACAGATCCACGCAGACCTTAAGCTGAGAGGAGATAGGAGTGCTAGAAAGAGATAAAAAAGAAGACGTGAAAGCCTGAAGCTGAAAGTATCCAGGGAGAAGAAAGTCTTTATAAGAAGAAGAAAAAACGCTCACAATGGAAGAAATGGGAGGAAAAGATTAGAAGAGAAAGATAAAAGTAATGAAAAGAAACTCTTCTTTACAAAGTTCGACAAAAATAATATGAACCAAGCTGGGACTTGGTGAATGGGAAATGAGGTTTTCTAATTTATAGCAAAGATTTAGTTTTTAATAAAGAAGTAAAGATAATGTCCCCAGCCTCACTTAAAGGCAGTTTCTGTGAATAAATATTTATTAGTGGTCAAATTAAATTAGTGTCATCATTTATTAGGAACGGATGTTAATTTAATTAAAACCTCCAGCCTCTTTAAATTAACTGGTAAATATATTGTTACTATTTTAAAAAGGAAGAAACTGAGAGATGATGATTGGTGATTTAACTCAAAAAGAAAGTTTGGGAATTAAATTGTAAGCAGTTAGCTAACCTAGCTTAGCTTAAAGGCTAATAACATGCAGTCAGATTGAGATTTGCTCCTTCTTAAAAGTGTTAAAATCTTTTTTACAAACTTAAGCTCACAGGTCAGTCTGTTACTTTAAAGTTGGATATACAAAAACGATCATGGCATCCCATAATATTTTATAAGAAACACTGTAGGAGAAGCTATTGGCTAGCATGATATTAGCAGAAAGCTAGCAGTGTTTAAAAAGAGCTTTTTCCAATATATTTATCCGTAAGTTTACCACGACTGTGCTTCATTGTTACTGTCAGATTACATCATCATCTTCAAATTAATGTGGAATTCCTGGAAGTTTTTTTTTTTTAAACTATGGACTGAAGCCTGAAGCTAGCTCAGATTTTATCGAGCACAGATTTCACAGACCATCCAGTCATCAGTCATTTTTACACCTCACTTCATCTCTAAAAGAGTTTTTTCCATCTTTTTATTTTTGGTAATAATAGTTTTGTTGCGTTTCTTTGCTCAGGTACCTGGCGGTCACTCAGTTCAGTCCGATCCACGCCCGAAAGGCCTTCCCATGCTTCGACGAGCCCGTCTACAAGGCCACTTTCTCCCTGAGCCTTCGCCACGACCCGCAGTACACGTCTCTGTCCAACATGCCCGTCGAGGCCAGCTCGCTGTCAGACGAGGACGGCTGGCTGATGAACCGCTTCGCCCGGACGCCACGCATGTCCACATACTACCTGGCCTGGGCCGTCTGCAACTTCACCTACAAGGAGGCGGAGACGGACAGCGGCGTCACGGTCAGTACCAAAACCTCCTAACAGACATTTCCTCTTTTCTTTTTGTCATTATCTCTGCCATCATCAGAGACAGACTTTTATTTTTGAATAGCTTTATTTTGAAACACCTGGTTAAATCCCTTTCCTGTTTTGCCCGTTAAGTTTGGAACTTTAATAAATAATTTGCAGAGGATTTTATTTAATTTGCCTTGTTCCAATTTCTAAAAATGACTAATTTACTAATAATGTTGCAGCCATGATGGAATAATCTACAAGTAACCTGACTCAGAATCTGCTGAGTCACTGGTTGCTATGGTGATTCCCACCTTTTCTGGGGAGCAGAGGGAGGAGCTTACAGCACTGTCCTGTCAAATAGGCACAAAACTTCAGCTTTAAAGAGTATCTGTGTAAAAACTATAAGTGGTAACCAAAAGATTCTTAAACCACGAGCAACAGAACCGTCTGTTCACTGCATTTGAAAAGTTTTATTTATTTATAGTGTTTTTATAGGAGATATAAACTCACAAACGATTCAAAGTTGATTAGTTTGTGTACGTTCGCTGCATTTTGTGGTATTTGAGAGAAATCCATAATTCCTGAAACAGGAAGAGACAGACGGAGTGAAAGAAAACAAAAACACTTTTGTTTTGATGTACCAGTGATATAAGTTAATGTACTCAAAGTTTAAACACATGCCACATCATTACACTAAGTTGAGTGTTTCGTTTTAAACTCCAACTGTTATCGTGTGAAAAGCGTTAAAGATATTAAAACACCAGTTGAGTCATTTAAAGTTCAACTTTCTGGGACTTGATTAAAGTTCTGATTGATGTGTTTATTGTGACAGACTGGGTTTTACCTTCGTGTTCAGGATTATTTTTTAGTTTGATGCCAATTTTATTCACGTCATACGGAGTCGAAACATCAGAGCCCACAGTTCCTGATTGAGCCGCGTGTTTTGATTTGTTTTTGTGGGTTTTTCTAACAGTATGGGAGGAGTAGCTGAAATTCATGACAAACATTAGAAATAACAGCTGAATGGTAATAATGGCGCCTCAGTGACAGAAACTGATGTTTTAGCTCCTTTTTTCCTGAACACACAACTACTATTTGGGTTATTTTATATTTTAAAGCCCCGTCCTGTCTGTGATTTAACTGCCGTGTTGCACACCGAACGCTGCATGTTGTTGATTCTGTCAGCCTCTCTTCTTCTTCTCTCCGTCACTTCAACTCTTCTGGGACTCAGGCTGTCTCCAGTCTGAGAAGGAAAAGTCTCTGATGAAACCCAGCGCCGAATACTGTTCCCTCAGCAGCATATCTAACCGTGTTCCACATCAACCAGTCCTCGTCTCCAGGGTTCACACAGGAAATATGAGCCACAGTTGTCACCAGCAGACAATTATTGACACAACTAGAGAAACTGCATTTCCTGTGAAAATGCAACATGAATGCTGATTTCAGAAGAACTTGCTGAAAAACAGCTGAAATTAGCTAAAAAAAACATTCTGAATTGTAGCTGAAATCAAAGAACAAGCCTAAATTAGCAGAAGAAAGCAGAAAGAACACATTTTTGCTGAATTACCGTATTTTCCACAGTACATGTCACACCGCCCTGCAAGTCTCATCAGTCCAAAAATGTCTAATAAAGTGGACACAAAAAAAAGAAGCTGCTTCACCGCATAAGTCGCATCTATAATGTGTCACCACTGACCACCCGGAAACGTGGGCCGGCGTTGTGCCAAAAATTGATTGGCTGCCCTGGCAGCCGCGGGTGCGTGCACAGGAGGACTTTAGCAAGAATTGAACAAGATAAACACTTAAAAACAATTATTTGTTTGCTCAACATTATAGCAAAGGTGTTTCTCAGTCTAACTTTTCCTTAATAAATGCACTTTGATGGTCAAATCAGCTGCATTTCACCTCTGCGGCATCGCAACATTCAGCTGGCTTGACATTTGCTCCAGGAGTTCTGGAGCGAGACGAAGGTGGCTTAGTATGGCAAGCCAAGTGTCTCATTAATAGCCACTTTTGCCTATTAATGAGACACTTGGATTGCCATATTACTCGAGGGCCCTCTAGTGGTTGAAAATGGTAGTGTTCAATATTTTCCATGTCAGAATGAATGAAATCATCTGATCTCAGCCAAAAATTGGATTATAAATATGGAAAAAACATAAATAAGTCGCTTCACTGTTTAAGTTGCAGGGCATGCTAATTTATGCAAAAAGGTGCAATTTGTACAACAAAATTACAGAGGTATAAATCGCAGAAATACGTACAAAAATGAGTAAATTAGCTAAAAATAGCTGAGAAGTACCTGAAAAGGCAGAAAGCAACTTAAACTATCCGGAGGAATCTGAAAGAGCTGAAATGACCTAAAAATGTAAAATTAACAGAAAAACCTAAAAATTTAGCATAAAACAGCTAAATAGTAGCTGAAATAGCAGAAAAAGCTGAAACTAGCATAAAAAAACTAACAAACTTAAATTACCATAATGAGGCTGAAAGTAGCAGAAATTAGCATGAAAACTTGATTTTTTTCTAAAAACAGCTGAGATTAGCTAAAAGAAATGCTAAAAAAGTAGCTGAAAAGGTAGAACAAGCTTAAATTAGTAGAAGAAAGTATAAAGAACACACGTTTGCCCAGTTAGGCTGAAAGAAGCAGAAATGAGCACAAAAAGAAATTATCTGATAAAAGCTGAAATTACAAAAAAAATAAATAAAACTGCTGAAAAGTAGCTAATAAAATCAGAACGCAGTTTAAATCACCAGAAGGAAGTGGCGAGAGCACATTTTTACTGAATTAGGCTGAAAAAAGTTAAAATGAGTGCAAAAAATGTTCTAATAAGTTCTAGTTCTAAGTTCTAGTAAGATCTGAACGACTGAAAATGAGCTCAGTTCATTTTCTGTGAGGGAAAAATGGCAGAAAAGGCTAAAAATTTCAAAAAGCTAAAGTTGCACCAATACCAAAAGTCATCGCACCCTTCTCCTGAAAGAGCTGAACGTTTTGTTACCCAAACTGCTGAAATAGCTTAAAAGCTGCCGGACGAGAATCTCTCTGAAAAACATACGGAGTCGGGATAGAAGTCGTAATAATAAATATAAACAGGAAAGCAACAGTGTGAATGCTTCCTAAACTTTCCCATCATCAAGCTCCAATTTGGAATAACAGCTTCAGATTCCAGGAGGAAACAAGTGAGGATGAACGAGTTGTGATTATGAGAAGGTGCTATTTAAGAGACTGAGCTGAATACAGCACCTCAGACTGAGGAAGTCTCTCGGATGAGAGACGAAACGTTTCTACATTTTTTTGCTTTGTTTTGTTTTTTGTTTTTTTGAATGTCCAGAGGACCAGATTGAACTTTTTTGGATTTTTCTACCTGGATTATTGAGCATGCATCAGGATATTATTCGACGTGTTTTATTTATCTTCTTTGGGTTTTAAACGGTTCGGCGAGTCGTCGGCATTTTTCCGGATAGTTTTTAACATCCTCAAAAGAGGCCGACGTTGGAGCTGGTGTCTGCGGAGCAGCGTAATAACTGACCTCTGAGTCCTCTGGGAGCATCAGGAGGTTTTTATTTCCTGTAAGTTCCACAGCAGCAGTCGGGTTTATCTCCTTTTAAACTACAACACGTCTTTTCTGCAGATCTTTAGCGAGTTTCTCTCGACCGACTCTTGGTGACAAACATCAAACTGAAATTCTTAACGGAGTTTCCAAAATGTCTCAAACGTTTTCAGATTTCTGCAGGACAGGTTTGAAAAATTCAGGCAACAAATATCCTGATGCATGCTCAATAATCAGGCAACAAAGTTTCTCTAGAGGTGGCTGCAGATTCTTTGCGTACGTCTGAAACTCATCTCCGTTTATTTTTTATGATTCCAGTTCACTGATTTTGTTTGTTTTGGGAGTCAGAGTGATTCCAAGTGAAAATGTCCTGATTTTCTTACTTTGTGTCTTCAACTGTCCTCCAACCGTCACAGACCAGTGATGCAACTCATGGTGCGTTCACTGACCTGGAGGGGGGATTTTTGAGCTCTGAATCTGTCAAACACCAGTCAGCTGAAATATCAAACAGGTAATGACCAGTAGAGAAGCTAAAACCAGACTGGATCCCCACTGTCGGCTCGGTGGTTTGATCCCTATGTTTGGTTCAGTCGTTTGATCCCTATGGTTGGTTTGGTGGTTTGATTCCCATGGTTGGCTCGGTGGTTTGATCCCCGTGGACGGCTCGGAGGTTTGATCCCCATGTTTGGTTTGGTAGTATGATCCCCATGGTCGGTTCGGTAGTTTGATTCCCACGATCAGCTCGGTGGTTTGAGTCCCATGTTTGGTTCGGTGGGTTGATCCCCATTGGTTCAGTGGTTTGATTTCCTGCCCTGTCCTCACCCAGACTTTGATCTCCAGGCTGAACAATAAAATGTGGTTCTGCTGTTTTCCTGTCAGACGTTTGGAAACACGCCACCGAACCACCAGAGACCCTCTTTAAGGCGTGAGACCTCCGTCTTCTTTGAGCTCAGTGTGTCTCTTCAGTAAGAACACGTTGCTAACAAACAACACACTGCACCACCTGAACCCACTCGACTGACCCTCAGAACCACGAGAAGACCTCGCTCTGAGTGTACTCTGGACCTTTACGGGTCTAGAGACATCTGTTAAACACAGACGGGACGATTGAGGCGGAAACGTTCGTGATCTTAAGGTGACATGGAAATTAAGATGTGAACTCAAGATGGCACCTGTGCTGTTTCAACATGAGTCATTAATCAGCTTCCTTCCAGGTTGTTACCACGTCCTGACGTCTCTTTTTGTCCACCTGGAAGGTGTGATACTCCTGGACCTGTTGGGGGTCCCAACAACCAGATCTGAGCCGATGTGGACCCTCAACAGCCGACGTCTTTGGTTTCATCTGAACTCTCAGGGTCCGAGCGTCACGCTTCTGATCCACTGTTTCTCTGAGCTCATTGCTGATGTCGTTCTGCCTTGGTGTTGTTAACACACACACACACACACACAGTTCCT